GTTCATTTTAATTTGGGTTTTATTTTTATTCGTCGTTTATTTTTTAATGTATATTGTTGTGCGGTTTATTAAGTTGATATTTTTGTTAAACAGGTGTGGTTTCAGAACCGAAGAGCAAAGTGTCGCAAACATGAGAGCCAGATGCACAAAGGTAAACCTATTCATTAATTTCCTACTCTTAATAAATTATTTATTCAAAAGTCAAAATTATTTAAGTTGTTATAAATCAAATTATACTTCACAACTAAGTAAACAGATCTCCGCTAACAGTTCTATGTTAATTTCGACCAAATGTTTCAACTCCATAATTTATATTCAACACAGTTTCCCTGTTTAATGTAGTCGAAAACTACAAATTGCAAATGATTCTGGCAAACTAGTTGTCGGCGAGTTGGCACCGCTGTATAATCGCAATGAATCCACTCGTGCGTGCATTGTACTACACGAGTAGTTAGCGGGACTGCACAACCGAGCACCGACTCACTGTCAGTACAGAACTAGCGCATTATGTATTCTCCATGACTTCGTCTAACTCGATTACAACTCCCGCCGGCGCCGGTCCGACTCTAACAGTTTTTTAATTCGACCATAACTCACGCGGATGAATAATTAAAATGGCGGGCCGAGGCGGGAATCCGCGCAAACGCGGTAAAAAAGCCCGGGAAACGGTACACGCGAGGCGATAAATTCAGGGAATTGCACAACGCACTTAGCGATCGACTGACTGACCTCCCTCCGACTGGTCAACGAGCAAAATAAATAAATAACGCGAGATTCCTCACGCCCGGAACTTGTATCTTCATCAAGCAGACTACAGGAGAAAGTGAACCGAAATAAAGCAATAAGCAAAAACAGGTGAAATATTAAAATCGATTACATATTAACTCTGGAATGAAAATACATACTTTGATGTCATAATTTTAAAACTGATAATTGTTTGGCTTGAGTTTAGGTAACATTTTAAGTCCCAATAAATAAAATATTTTATGCTTATAAAAATGGTACGGGCTCACAATAATGTCACAACTATGTATCGTCAGAGATAACAATTAAGTACACACATCTTGACGTGGCGGTTGTCCCATATCCCCAGTAACACATTGCTTGGACAAAAATATCAGATTATTGTATTGTTCGCGGCGAGCGCCGTCTCTACTCATAACATGACAATGACAAACGAGACGTGACTGCGCGACTTATCCGCGGAAATCTCCAGGAGATCGCACTATCGCGTGATTGTGAGAGCATTGAGGAACCGCTAAACGGAGCGTAAAGCGGAAAAAAGCCGCTCGCCGGAATCGAATAAAATGATTCCCCGCGGGAGCCATTCGGACGCAATCCCGCCGTCCCCTGCTAAATGTCTTATTAACTTATGTGCCCCCCGCGCCCGCCGCCCCGCAGCCACCCGGCCAACACGAGAATAATCATGTAAAGTGAAATGAAACGGTTATTTGTTATGTTATGCCCCTTTAACGGAGCGACGAGATTCACAATGTTGTTATTGATTCACGCAATCGTTTGTGGCCTCATATCACTGATTTGAAGATGCATTGTCACGTAATTCAATTTTGTTTAAGTATTGTTTGAAATATTATGTAGATTTCGAAGCGATTGCGCTGTCTACATTGTTATTATTTGTTTGGATTGATTCCCGTAGCATTCGTAGACACTTGCTACGCTTAGACTACGTATATGCTACGGTGCGTAGCTTTTATTTAAATAAGAAGATTCCTATCCCCATCTTAATTTTTTTTTTGGAAATGTTTTTATAATAACTATCGTGACACATACTACATTTTAGTTAATTTGTTTGTAAATGTTTATTTATTTTAATTTATGCAATTTGGTAAACTCACTTGTAGTCAGGAACTAATAATTTTAATTCAATATTTAAGTTTTATTTAATCTTAATTTTTATTTTATTACATCAGTGTAAGTAGTTCAGTATCTATCCTAAATATCATATTTTAAATATCACGATATTTTCAATGAATTAAACACTTTTAACGATAGCAACAGAATCGTACAAATAAATGATGTGAGATCTAACTTACAATGCTTAGTTACGATATTATATTACAGGCACATTACACCTATTTTTCTGCCATAAGAACATTATTCCTATTTAAAACAAAAACTTTGAAATAGCAATATATTGTACATGACTCCACATTAAATCATAACCGTAGGCGCTGAATCTTCATAAAAATTAAGAATTCATATTTAACGAAGACATGAATCTTCGCCATTCCCAGCGCCCGCTATAAAAACAATCAGAGCAGCCGTGAAATTCAAGAATAAAAGAATACACCGAAGCTTAATTGTTCCCCTGTTCATAAAATTGTAAAGTTATTCGCGCGTCGCGAGGGTGGCGATATTTTATTGCGCACAAACCGCTGTAAAGATGTTCGTGCGCTTTAAAATAAGCGAGAGGAGCTGCGCCCCAGCTTACCTTCTAACTCGATTAAATTAAACAACTCAGAGTTAATCAAATAAATGCACGGTGGTCGTCGGGTGTCGGGCGGGGGCGAGGCGCCGAGCAGTGGCGGCCCCAGCCGAGCGCCGGACGCACTCACCGCCGGTATTTATGTCGGCACTTCTCGAAAGTAATTCGGTGTCAAATATGGAAATAACTCATACGCGCCGGGAACATCTATTTTGATAATGCCGACGGCGACCGGAGAGGTTCTGATTTACAGCAGCTCGCGCGCCCGCCCTAGCGCCGCACCGCACCGCGCCGCGCCGCCTCTCTCGCACTCCACACGTATGCTACATTCTTGCCTCAATAACTTTACACTATATATGAATTTATTTCACTACTTCTATGAATTATAGTTATTTAGTTGATATTATACAATAACCTCGTTATAATAAACACAACACAATTTAAATTACTATTAAATTTTGTTCTTCGATCTGGTTACATTTAATTTTCTTAAGTAATCCAGTTGTCATTTAACGTGATAAAGCCAACCCTTTAACGCCGTGATGTTTAAAAATCCCTTCGGATGATCCAAGTTTAATAAAATAGAATCTCGACTGATATAATCGAATGGCGAGGTCTTCTATTAACAGTAATTAAATTAATGAATCTTTCAGACGAGACCCATGGAGCACCTTAAGTCGGGAAGATCCGCGTTAATTTATTAATTGGCCACTTCGCCCGACGGGCGGGCTATAAACAACGGATCTCACTTAATTTACGAGCAAATTATGCTTTACTTAAATATCAATTTAATTAAGTGGAGTTCGGGAACGGATCTCGGTGGATTTGTGTAGCGCGCCGCGCGCCGAATCGCTCGTTTGTCTCTGCCAATCGAGGTGGATCGATGCGCCCGTCCGCGTCACTCTCGTCGACAGATTAACTTGTACATTATTTATTTGTGAATTCTTAAAAAGTTTACATCTATTATTTTAGTTACAATACAAGACAAACAAGTTTATTTGTCCAAATAAACCCTGATAATATTAATGATTATATCGAGATATTATCTCGATCACTTTTTCTTTTGATTCAAATATTTAGATAATCTTGTGAAACATATGGCATCTACCTTCAGGACTATTAGTAAGTGGCGGTGGTACACCACTGGAGCCATGCCGCGTGGCGCCGTACGTGTCCGTGCCGCGGCTGTCCGCAGTGGCGCGACCACCCCCTGCACCACAACTGCCACCACTCACGCCACATCCACCACCTTCCACAGCATTCGCACCCTTCGACTCCGCCTTACTCTCAGCTGCTGCTCATCAGGTAAGCATCATCAATATGATATGAATCACCATGGATGAATTTGAGCATTAAGTCACTTTTCTTGGAATAGATTAACCTAAGGATAGATCATATTTAAGTGACAAATCAAATAAATATCCTACTTTCCAAAAACTCATTGATATACAAATTCGTCCATGTATTGTTTGTGGTGCAGTACGCCAGTGCTGCTGCAGCTGCGGCGGCGGCTGCGCTATGTCCCCCGTACGCTGGGCTGGCAGCTCTGGCAGCGCGGTGTCGTTCGTCGTCCATCGCGGACCTGCGGTTGAAGGCGCGGCGCCATGCTGCGGCGCTGGCGGCCGCGCGAGCTTCCCCGCCGCCGGCGCCCGCGCCGCCCGTCGCACCAGCACCTACTTCCACTCCCACAGACACATAGCCGTATCTAATTAAAAAGGAATGCTAGAATCACAACAACCGAATCAAATCATTATATAGTGGGGTTAATCCAAAACTTACCTATACGTTGTCGTTTTGTAAGTATGCGTAGGGAAGGTGACAGACATGAAAATCTTCACATCTTCTCAAGACCGGGTCAAGTTGCTACTCTGCGTAGTGCGTACACGGTAACTAAACCAGTAAAAAAAAATAAAGTAGTTTCTCAATTCATAATTTAGCAATTGTACATAATTATCTGTCGATTGTGACATAATACTTATCTACGTCTCAAAATTGTAAATGATTATAAATAAAAATATAGACTGTTTCGATATAGTGGAGTGTGATTTACGTACGTTTATTGATAAATTATGTGGTAGGAATCTTGTCCACTTGGATTATAAAAATATATAATAAATAAGTAAATATATAGAATAAAGAAAAACCTTTTTAAGGAAACCTATAAACTTACAAATGCTCTAGTCTCTTAAAAATACTTCGTATTACTAAGAATATAAGGTCTCTATACTTTGAGGACTATCGGTCGGTTCCTAAGACATGAAAATGTAATAAATAATTGAACTTTGTTATGTGGGTGTTACCTATAGTCATATATTTAAGATCCCGGCTCCTGCACACAATCAAAAGTACATACGTGGAAAATATACCTAATGATTTTTTATACAAACACAAACTTATTTCTTATACATAAATTGTACCAGTACCAGTTATTACGGTTTCAATTTTTGCACTTAATAGTTGGCGCTAGTGAGGTTTATCATCCTGTTAGCAGAATCATTGTACACTTGAGTTTCAATAAACATAGGTACCTACATCAATAGGATCACGCGTTTTGATTCGTGATGTACGGATATGTATGTTGGTACCCACAGAAATATTAAATTAACATATCTATGTTTGTACCATAGGCATAGATGTGTAAAAATCTATTCAATTAACATCTTTATAGGAACACAAAAGTTCGATCTAATAATCACAAAAGTACTTTCAAAAAACCACAGAAGTAAAACCCGTAAAATGGTTCTGTCTCGGTAATACAATAGTTTTACAAAGAAATTACATGTTTAAAACAAAAAGTAACTAGTAAAACATTGCAAAAAGCATAGGTACTTCGAAAGCGCATTTCGTATGCGCTTTTTTATTATATTATATTATCAAAAAATCACGCAATGTAATTGTCGAAGAGGTATTTCTCGTCGGGTGGCACGTGCGATGCGAATAGTGCCTACAAATTTACGTTTAATATTTCAAGTGCGTATTGCCATGACTTTTTACAAAAAAATGATATCTTTGTTTGTTTTTACTTTAGACTGCCAAATTGTTTTGCCGCGGGACGAAACCGAAATAAAGTTCACGGTGTATACTAACATTGTGTGTGGGAGCCAATGTAATTAACTAAATAAATAAATACAAGTTTGTGAAATACTATCTCAGCTTGTATCAGGCGTGTACAGACAGTATGTTAGATATAAATGACCAAACGAGTAAATCGGACTGTGAAATATTTGTAAATTAATAAGCTGTGATAAGTGTACGAGTTGGAATGGAATGTCGATGATCTCTTTATATACATTATTATACATATATAGCTTGATTTATTATTTCAATTATTGCACGTCTGTGGCTATTGATCTAATATGTATCTTTTGTCGAAATACCCAAACGCTACTCAATTTTAAATCGCGTTTAAATACCTATAGTTAAATTAAATTACTTTATTATTTTGCTTTCGTAATTATGTTGCCGTGCCCTAACCGGTTTTCATGTTGAAACTGTACATAAAAGTAACACCTATATTACGGGTGATTTAAGTGTGGGAGAGTCATGCTTCGGCACGAATGGGCCGGCTCGACCGGAGTTATACCAAGACCTCACAGGAAACCGACGTGGAACAACGCTTGCGTTGTGTTTCGTCGTGTGAGTGAGGTTACCGGAGGCCTTCTCCCTAGTCTCCCTAGTCCACAATCCTCAAATTCCCGATTCCCAAAAGGCCGGTAACGCACTTGTAACACCTAGGCGTTCCGGGTGTCCATGGGCGGCGCCGATTGCTTACCATCAGGTGATCCGTCTGCTCGTTTACCAGCTTATGCTATAAAAAAGTACCTACATATATGATATAATGCAATAAAAAATTGAATTTAGTTCTGTCACTACAAATTCTTTGTAAAATGACAGAGATGGCACGATATTTAAGTACAATTTAAATTTGAGTAGCCTTTCAGTAGTCAGGGGTCTGTTTATGAACACAATATACTACATAAGTTGCAATCGAAGTAAAGTATGGTGCCATGATGTTTTAATTTAATGCTGATAAGATTGTCTAGTTTGCGATATTACGATATCGTGTCCCAGTGTTGTGTAAAAATTTATATTGTTTCTCACAATGAAAACATTTTTAGTGCACTTCTTAGTGTATACTGTATCGTCAGCATGCCCTACGAGATACGCAGTGAAAACGGAGTATAAAGAGAATTTCAAACTTATCTTGTTTCATGAAAGCCACAGATGTCTTAAAACTAATATAATTATGTATGTAGATACTATTAATAAATGTAATTTGAATCTAAGTAATATGAATAATGACATTCATAATTCTGATCACAAATAATAATTAATGTAAATATTATAAAATAAGTGTTCGGTTTCAAATATCAACGCTCTGTTTATAGTTGTGTACTTATAAATAAAATATTTAGATGAACAATGTAATATTTTTTTATCATAGCACAAATGGAGAGTTCCTGTTCAAACTTCAATATAAATGTTTAAGTACCTATTCATTGTGACAAATGAATATTTTGACTCGGAATATCACTAAGTGAGTACCACCGAGCAATGATACAGATGAGGTTGTTATTTGACATCCCCCATAAATCAGGGCTAGGGGTGTGCATCCCCAGCGGCGAGCGATATTGTTTCTACATTTGTGGCTGATTGATGACAGCCCTAGCACCATGGCTGCCCGTGCTACAGTTTGTAAATTATTAAACTATTCATAGTTACTACCTAACCTTTGTGCATTTTAGTAATAGGTAATGTTTTCAATAATAAATTCCTAACCACCTGCTTACCATAACTCCTATATTAACCTCACCTCGTAGTTCTTTAAATCTAGACATAACTCACGCTTGCACCCTTGCTTGTCTTTATACAAAGTTAATAGTAAATATCAATTAGCTAGACTATAACTCAACCTTTTTCACCCCATCTTTAGCGACGCATCTACATTGAGCAGTTTTGTTAAGCAAACAAATAAACAAATGCCGAACAAATATTTGTTAAAGAATGTAACGTGATAAAGTAATAACATGCACTTGGTATTTCGTCGTGAATTGGGACCGAGACGTGGTGAGGTAGTGGATGCGGGCCTGAGCTCAGACTGGGGACTGGGGAGCGTGTTTGCGCAAGCTGTTAAAAAAGCCCGCCCTCGCATCGGCTGCGCCCAATTAGGGCGGCGACGCTGCTGATTGGGCGTAATCGTGTTAGTATCGGCGACAAACAGCCCCCTGCACCGTGTCTTCTGTCTCCACAACACATACAACCTCACTCGATTATTGTTTAAACTGCCTTTACATCTACTTAAGGGGCAAATTCTAATCATTGTTACGATCTTGGTACCATAGTTTAAAATTCCATCACAAATTCCATTAGAAATGCTTATACCTATGTTATTGGAAACAATCGATTGTTACATTAATGTACGTACTTACGTAACATGAGATTACTTACGAATAGTTATTGGTTAGCTAATCAGTACGGAAGAAAAAACTGTACTTATTAGGTACAAACTAATTTAATTGGATTTTTCTTATCCCCTAGAGACCCTCACTGCCAAGTTACAACCGCAAAAACTAACTGCTTAATGCTCATACTTTAACTACTGTCTATTTACTCTTGTACATATATACTCAACTAGCTACTTCCGCGCGGTTTCACTCGCTCTGCTCGGCGCCTATTAATCATAGCGTGATATTTTATAGCTTTAGCCTTCCTCGATAAATGGGCTATATCCAACACGAGAATTTTTCAAATCGGACCTGTAGTTTCGGAGATTAGCGCGATCAAACAAACAAACAAAAAAACAAACTCTTCAGCTTTATAATATTAGTATAGATAAGATAGGCCAGTATTGATCTATGAATAAACTGTACAGAATGGATGTTATATATAGAAACTGCTTAAATACATAAACTGAAGAAAATTGATCAGTTCTGTTAAAATGGGTTGGCTACACTTAGCTCACCATAAAGTTTAAGCTTTTGTTTTCAAAACCTTCTATAGAATTGTGTATGATAGTTTTTAATAGGTTCGATATGTACCCACCCATACCTATCACATACCAACACCACATCATCTACACCTATACCTATCACATTTTTAACTGTAGGTACTTAGGAAAAATAATGAACTGCATATCTGCCTATCCTTTCGAGGAAAAAGGCGTAATATGTGATTCATAGTTATAGCACAGGAAATGCGTGTAGAGGTATAGATAAGAGGTGCTTTGGGTATAGCTGGGTTCACAATTTTCAAAAATAATGACCAAGTAAAAATCGTACACAGTAATTTTTCACTCGCGACGTGGAAGAATCGATCGCAATGTCGAATGCATTTTATACGTTTGATCTGTAAGCTGCGCGACATCGCCGCGACCGCACACGCTGCTCACAAGGAAGAACCCCTCTATGGTTCGAAACTAGTAGAGCTTTTCTCAGTACATCCACGTGAGTAACCCGCAATTTTTGTTAAGACCTAAATTGACCAACCCAATAATACTTATCCCGCCCCAGATAGAATGAGAGACCTCTTTCTCCGCATAGATGAACAAAAATAAAATAATAAGCAAGACAATAGACATGCGAAGGGAAAATACTTGGATATTACAATAAGTGTTACAATTACATTAGTAATGCAATAAGAGGTACCTTGATAAAACAATACCAGTGTGTATAATGTTATCATAGTTTACAGAAAGTAAACTGCGATAATATTATATAATTATACTCTTAAATATGGTTAAGTACAGTCATCACCGGTTTAAACAATTTATAAAAAACCATATTGAGCTTCAAGAAATGTCTGTGGAAATAGAAAAAAGGGTATGGGTATTGTACAAACCGTTACAAGGAAATAAGATTTAAATGACAAATGCATATGACGTGTAGGGATATCCGCTTTGTAATGTTTAGCTGACGTCGCTGATCTACGTGTATTTCACTATGGTTCTTGCGTTGAGGTAAGATATTACAATTAAGGACTTTCCTTTCCTTATTTGCGTCATTTGGTTCCTTCTTAATGTTCCTCTTTCCTGTAGGTACTACCAGTATGAATCACAAATTACGCCTTTTTCCTCGAACGGATATGCAGATATGCAGATGTCATTACTTTTCCTCAGATAAAAATGCTGTGCAATAAGTAAGCTACGGGTCAAAACGATTGAAAAATATCGAACACGATTCTATAGAATATAATTTTTAAAAGAAACGTTTAATCGTTTTATCCATAGATAAGTTTGAATGCGACTCGTTTGAATAGAATCGAACTTTAAACTTTCTGCACCTTAGCTAGGTACCTACACAGTTCCTATAACATCCACAAAGCAAAATCGGCATATTAGATCTATCACACTAATATTATGTGAAAGTTTATTTGTTCGAATGTTGTCAATCAAGCTGAAACTACTGAACTAATACTGATGCAATTTGGTATACAGGCAGGGCTGACTTAGGTGATAGGATACTTGGGATTGGGATACAACAGGAATCATATTCTATGAGGACGAATTCGCATTTCGCGGGCAACAGCTAGTTATAGACATAGATAAGAGAGATGATAGTTCTTGCGGTTGTAACTTAGCGATGTGGGTTCCTAGAGTTAGAGGTACAATTAGAATGCAATAATAGGTACCTACTCCTTGATAAAACAATAGCAGTGTGTACATCATGCCACATCTCAGCAACGGCAACGGTTTTTAAGTTATTGACTAATGTTTCTAGTTAGGCTATCTATTTCTTAACTCGTCAAGTACCGTAATTATAGAGGTAGACACAATTATAGAACAATAGGTTGCGGTCACCGGTGACCGCTTGGTGTTTGACAGTTTAAGTAGGTACTAGTAGGTACTCATTGGCATTGGCAAAACATTTACGTCTAATAACCGAAGTGGGTCATCCCGTTGAATATTTAATTGTTTCGTCAATCCTATCATGAAGTTAGTTCATATTGTGATTATATAGATATAATGTTCTAGCTAGACATTTTTTTAAGGGGGATAATCATCGAATGACTGCTCCCGCCTGGGTTAGGCGGGAGGGAGTGTCAGACTCTTACTGACTAAAAACCACACCGTTCCTTCTCCTGCACGTCGAGCCGAAGCCCCGGTAACCCGTTAGGTTCTCCGCGACTCGGTAGGTTTAGCAAATAAATAGCTAGTATGAATTGACTCCATGTCTATTTTAACTCGTCGAGTACAGTCATTGTAGATACAATTATAGAACAATAGGTTGCGGTCACCGGTGACCGCTTGGTGTTAGACAATTTAAGTACTTAGGTAGGTAAGTAAGTATGACCATAAAATATACAGACACCTACCGTGCCTTCATGAGAAATCAACTGTGGTGACATGTTGACCATATTGTTTATAATTAACGTAATAGATCATAGACAATACCTATAAATCGAACATTTTATTCGTTGAAATAGCAGTTTACTTACGTAAATGACTGACAAAAAGCTCTACTAGTTTCGAATACCAACGGGACTTTTATCCTTTTCTTTATTATTAACAATATTCCGAGTTTCCACCAATTATGTATCTATATGCATACAATATATGTTGTAGTTTATTTGACCGTAAACATTATAGGTACTTCACTTATTAACACAAACACTTTTCCTAATTGCACATCATCCGTCAGTTACGTACAGTTGAGTTATACCTATATAACGTAGTGTTACTCAGTGCGGCCAATATTATACGGCTTGACCTGTTACTGAAAATATACCTAGCACAATAAAGGTTATACGATTGTACCAGTGCCAGTGAAACTGTGAAACATTCAATTCTGATCTTGATTTCGAGCGCAGTGCACGACCACCGACCATGCATTCTAAAACTATTTTACCTTTAATGTTAATTAGTTTATTTAAATTGTATTATTGTGTAGAAGACGTGATCCCTCCTCCAGGGTCAACGTTTTATTTCGCTTACGGCAGTAATTTGTTAACCAAACGGTTGCATCTCAACAACCCATCGGCGGTTTTCTACAGCATCGCCAAACTTGCGGTAAGTTTAATTTTACTAAGATGGTTTGAGAACACATTTATAAAAGTATTGTAGTACCTATACATATAATAAAATCGTAGGAAAGTGAAAACTATTCATTAGATATTTATTAAAGAATGCCTGGGGCGTGATCTACAAACGATACCGAAGCTAGAATTATTGGTTTTTAGATTTTTTGTCTGTATATATGAGTATTGTGCAGGCTAAACTCAATGAGTACTACGTGGATTTACTTCAAATTCTGCATGAGTATTACAAACTGCTCGGGTCAACATATAGGCTACATATTATCGTGCTATCACTTATGGGGGAGGAGCTGTGAATCACTTCCACGTGGACGAAGTCGAGGGAAAAGCTAGTTTAAGTGTATAATAAATTATTTTTCCGTCTATAGATACTTTTTCGTGTTACTTATGTCAGGTAGCACTTAGTTTACAGTTTATGAGAAGCTCCATTCTCTTCGTTAATTTACTGTTAACTATACCAAATTACATAACAATTTGTAATACTTACTTATTTGTGTAAAAAACTCACCACACGAAAAACTATGTTATGTCAGATTGTTTCGTACCTAACATAGCAGTAAACTAGTATAAACTGGACGGCAGACAATGGCAGCAATCAACCAAATTGTTAAGTACCCGTTTCCTGAAAATTAAATCATAAAAGGTTTTATTGTTTATCTATGAGAATAAAATTGGTTCACAACTTATTCAAGGAGATGTTTATTTTCATCTGTATGCCAACATAATTTCATAATAAACGCGTTCATGACAAGTTAGGTTCAAAGTCTTGAGTCGCGGAGAACCTAACGGGTTACCGGGGCTCCGGCTCGACGTGCAGGAGAAGGAACGGGGTGGTTTTTAGTCAGTAAGAGTCTGACACCCGCCTCACCCAGCCGGGAGCAGTCACTCGATTATTTTCCCCACTTAAAAAAAAGGTTTAAAGCCCTACCCACCTAGTTGAATTGAATAGATAGGATACTTAAATTTAAGTCAAAAAGTTACAAGGCCATTTCATGATCGAAACTGACACGAATAACGATTAAGTTTTCATTCATTATGAGTACTTAGTAGATATTTACGTGACTCTCAGAAAGTGTCAGGCTGCTGCATAAATGCAGTCTACACATAACAATAACATGTCGGAATAAATAAGGTTAGCAGGTAACCTCAATAACATCTGCCTTGTAACATTATTTTTCAAGACCTATATTTTCATTTTTCAGGATTACAGATTAGATTTTAATTATCAAATGGAAGCCTGGCAAGGCGCCGTAGCTACTATTGTAGAGGACAAGGATGCCCACGTTTGGGGCACCGTTTGGACCATGGATACTGACCAACTGCATTATCTAGACGAGTAAGAATACCCTACTCAAAATATTTTCGAAATATTGTTAAGATTAACTGTTGTTTATTGTGTATATTGTAGGTATATACTAATTATTGAGTATTCCCTAATGTATTAGGAAAAACGTACTTAATGTATTCCTTCCTTCTTTCTCTCTTTCGACTTTCTTGTTAGTAAAGTAAATTTAAAACATGGTTATCAACAGTCAAGAAGGTGTAGCGATCGGTTTGTACTATGCCAAGAACGTGACTGTGACGACACCTAGCGGCCAGCAGTTAGTAGCCCGCACTTATATAGAAACCAAAAACCCTGAGAAAGCTGCAAACGGCACGGACATCCCAATGGAAAGACGCCCTTCTAATACCTACCTCGAGGTGAGTCAGGCTTGGCTAAACCTGTTTACCTACCCTACTTATGTTGAGTTTTTAACATCTTTACTTGTTGAGTACTACATTATTGACAACAATATGGACACCTTGTCAACTTTTTGGTTGCGTCTATTCATTTCCATATACGACCTTACGTGTAACCTAAATATTTGGCGCTGACTGTAATTACATGCTTTTCCAACTTCAATTATGTAACTGATCCAATTTGTAAGATATAAGAACCCAGATTAGTTATTTTACGTTTATACACCAACTCTGTGTGGTCTGAAGTCTTTTAATAATGTTTTTTAAATATTACAGGTCATCGCACTTGGTGCAATCGAATCCCACCTTCCAGCTGATTACATAGGTTATATTTTCTCTTTTCCAACAAATGGAAAAATGGCTAGCAAGACTAGAAGAGAAGAGTTAGGATATCCTTTTTAATATATCTCCAAAAACATTGCCTAATACCTAGGTAACTCCTGTGATATGCACCTAATAAGTACTATAAATATGTGTAGGTAGGTACAGACTATACCTAACACATCAGGCTACCAACTGATAAAACTTATAATAATAAGTATATAATACTTTAGTAATAAGTACTCGAAACGGCGCATCGTAAGGCTTCTGTCTCTGGAGCCCTAACCACCGGTAGCTTGGGCCAAGCTCCCGTTACTGGTCGGCTCCTATTTTTATATTTTAATATATTGTGTTTCTGATTTTTTAAGTAGTATTTACTTAACTGACTAAAATGTAACATCAGAGAATTATAAATATTTCCATTTCAATAATTGACTAAAAGCGATGAAAAGTTTTGTATAAGCATGTTGGTATAAGCACGTTTCGTTGAAAAGAGTAACTTGGTGTGCTAGTGACTGTACATTACCTACTTTATTAAATAAATAAAATTAGATACTTAATTATATTTCGTTTTTTATTTTATCCACCTACATAAGATATATTTATTTTATTAATTTGGATAATTACCACTAAGTATCTCTTATAACATTTTTGCAGCTTACCACCTACCACATACATTTCTGCACTACCTAAAGGATGGCTGGCAGAGAATGCTGTTAGCATTAAGTCTTCCTTATGCAATTGTATAGAACTTAAATAAATAAATAAATAAATAAGCATTTTCTCATTTACTTACACATCACGGTGTATGTACCTATGTTCCATTTTATAGTTACGCAAGCTACATAAAATAAAAACTGCGTTTAAAAAACCGGCTTCAAAAGACAAAAAACTAATAACAAATAAAAATACTTATTTTTTTAATAATAATAATAAATTTTTGGATAGACTACAAGAAAGCATAATTATGATTCTGTGCCACATACATGGCTCCTGAAGGTGCTGGAGTTGTATAAAATAGATGCAAGTTTACGCGCCTTCTTGGAGTCATGTATGAGGCAGTGGAGCACTGTGCTTTGCTATCCGGAATGTAGACAAATCCAAGGGAATGAAGAAACTGTAAGGATAGTGCGAGGAATAGTCCAGGGTGACAGCCTGAGCCCACTATGGTTCTGCTTGGCCTTGAATCCTCTAAGTACTTTACTGGAGGATTTAGGGCTAGGCTATCCTTTGCGGAGAAGGGGTCTAGTTATATCCCACTTACTGTACATGGATGACCTCAAGTTGTTTGCTCCAAACAAGAAACAATTGATGGAACTTCTGAATATAACTGAAAAATTTAGGTTGGCGAGTCTCCGCCTGCCATTTTTTTTTACGTGTAAAAATTGTGTCCCTTCGTCCAGCATACTCACCATGGGATCCTGATATTTCATGAATGTCAAAAAACTGTTCTGAAATAGTGCTAAATAGTGCCCAAAGGAAAAAAATAGTGCTCTTGTACTTGCGAAGTTATAGCCATAGTTCGATGAGTATGCTGGACGAAGGTTTCGCCCAGCATACTCACCTCCGTCCGGAGAATCTGTATACGCTTCAAACATAATTCATACTTCAAAAAATAGTTCCCAAATAGTGCCAAACGGTGCCCAAAAAGAAAAAACAGTGCTCGAATAACTTCGGAGTTATAGGCTTCGTTCAGTGAGTATGCTGGGCGTAGGTTCTACGCCCAGCATACTCACCTCAGTGCGCGAATATCGAACGAGCTATAGGTACAATTTACGTCTCAAAAAATTGTGCTTGAAATAGTGCCCAATATCAGTCCAATTTTTGCTTGACTTTTGACCTAGAAAACCATTAAATTTGATTGTAAACTTCTACATACATTACATTGAGTACAGTCGAATACAATATTATTAACTTTCTTTCTAACAATTTTTGTCTTGTGTAAATTATTAATTGTCTATGTAAGGGAGTATTTACTTTAGAATCGCAATATTATTAATTACACATTATTTTAATAATACTTTATAATAATATGATTAAGCCTTCGCGCGTCGCATGGGACCCCGGTAGCTAGGAACAATGATTTTATATATTTTGTCTAGATCACGGCGCTTGAAGGATTAAGATATCAAATGAAGTAAATCATGCATGAAAAATAAAGTTGCTGTTATTAATGCTTACATTACAACTGACAAAATTATTCAAAATAATCATTTTCCGGATCAAGGACGGTACCACAACGTTTACGGAATTGACCTGTATTCCTCATGTGATAAAGTTCAATATAGTGTGGCAGTAATGGATGCACGTACGGTCAATAGGTATGGGGCTTACGACGCGCGGCGCCCGCGACGCAAATGAATATGTTTATGTTTAAATACTAGATGGCGCTGCCCTAACATCTTACGATTATTAGACAAGACTGATCTGTATTTTGAAGGTGATAAGGGTCCATTTTGTGTCACAAAGCGACGCGCGGCGCCCGCGACGC